TTTTGATATGAGTTTAAGTGTTCTATAGCTTCTACAGGAAACCCTATGAGAAACAAACAAATTTTGAATGTTTTCTATTTTGGCTTCTAAGTATTCTATTATGTTTCTTGATGAATGTTGAGCATGAATATGTGTTTAATTTTGAAATTGGATATGTTTGATAGCAAGATTGACCTACAATCCTTTGCTTGCCCATGGTAACAGACACTTTATGAATGTTTTATGTTTTACCTTTTGACTGTTCTGTTGCGTTCCTTGTATGATTATGAGTATGAATATGTGCTTAATTTTGAAAATAGATTATGAGTATATTTATGTGTGTGGGGTAGAGGGTGTGACACTAGATACCAGATACTACTAAATGTGATACCCTCTACCCCACATGCATAATTACACAATAAATGGAGATAAATAAAAACCTTCATAAATAAAATCCAAGTCTCTAACTACATAAGGGTAAAGAGCTCACACACGTAAAGGTTCTCATCAAAAGATCATGTCCCTAATTGTTCCTCATAGGGTTTCCCATAAGAACGCACAAAACACTCTAATTCATATCAAATCTTTTTTATTTTTAAAATTAAACACATATTCATACTCAGAATCATACAAGGAACACAACAAAATAATCAACAAAACAAAATAGAAAACATTCATAAAGTGTCTGTTTCCATAGTCAGGCAAAAGATTGAGTTATTCCAAGTGTGCCGCTTAGGCCGCATGCACTAGTGCAAAAATTGGATTTAAAATCGGAGTTTTAAGATCGGATACAAGGTAACCGATCTTAAAAGTGACGCGGTGACAATTTTGTAAATAATATGAACACTTTTAAGATCGGTTATTTTATGACCGATTTTAAAAGTGCTACTTTTAAAATCGGTTATTTCAGAACCGATTTTGTATGTAGTATACAAAATCGGTTCTTAAATAACCGATTTTAAAAGTATAGTCAAAAACCTTTTATCTTTCCCTCCATTCTCATTCTCTTTGATTTTTCCTTCCATTCCTTTTTTTACTCTCTCGTGCTCTCATCTAAAGTCTCCAACTTTTCATTTTCTTTACAAGACTACTATATCAAGGTAACATTCTCTTGCTCTTCTCGTGTCTCTACTTTCGTTGTTGGTTTATTCTGACTACTTTCATTGTTGGTTTATTTTGGTAAATTTTGAATTTAGGGTTCTGCAACGGGAACGGGCCGTTCTGCAAGGAGAACGAGTCGTCCTGCAAGGAGTACGGGCCATTCTACATGGAGAACGACCCGTTCTGCATGGAGAACGACCCGTTCTACAAGGAGAACGACCCGTTCTGGATAGGTTTTAACTGGTGACAAACTATTCTAGAATGGCCCGTTCCAAATGATAGTTTTAGGTATTTTTAACAACCTGGAACGGCCTGTTCTAGTTTTGGAATGGCCCGTTCCAGTTTTATCTTTTTTGGAGCCTAGACTTTCCAGATCGGTTATAAAACAACCGATCTTAAAAGTTAACTTTTAAAATCGGTTAAATAACCGATTTTAAAAGTCTAACTTTTAAAATCGGCTCTTTTAAAATCGGTTAGAGAACCAATTTTAAAAGTTATAAATAACCAATTTTAAAAGCTTTTTTTCCACTAGTGATGCCAGTGATGAAATGAGCTATTCTAGGTGTGTTGCTTAGGCCGCATGCTTGTGATGTATTGAGCTATTCTAGGTGTACCTTGGGTCACTAGTGATGTATTGAGTTATTCCAGGTGTGTCGCTTAGGCCGTATGCCAGAGATGTATTGAGTTATTCTAGGTGTACCTTATGTCAGCAGTGATGTATTTATGAGTGAACGTGCCCTAGGTATGTTATTGTAGTAAACATGCTAGTTATGAGAAACGTGCAACTTCTATATGGCACCACATGCATGCATTTATGAGTCGAGTCCATGACATCATTGCATGATAAACAAATGTGCATCTATTCTAATGTATTTATAACTTGAGAGTTGTGCTTGGTTATGTGTAACTTGTGCAGTACTTGTTATGAATGTGAGTGTGTTGCCTAACATTTGTTTCTACATTTGAACCAGAGTGAGATGTTTCTCACTCCCTTGTTGCTCTATGTGTATTTTTATTGTGTTATAGGTGATCATCAACATGAAGATATTGGTGATGAGGTTTAAGTCTCATTGTGGGGTGTGCTCTGATAGAACATGTGACATCGGGACTTAGTTAGGATTAATTTAGAATGTTACTCTTGTTATATTGCTTAGAAGACCTTGATTTTATTCTTTTGTAATTTCTGCACCAAACTATGATTTATGATTTATGAATGTGAGCTCTTTACTCTTATGTGGTTATAAACTTAGATTTTATTTATGAAAGTTTTTATTTATCTCCATTTATTGTATAATTATGTATGTGGGGTAGAGGGTGTCACATTTAGTGGTATCTGGTATCTAGTGTCACATCCTCTACCCCACATACATAATTATACTCATAATCTATTTTTAAAATTAAGTACATATTCATACTCATAATCATATAAGGAACACAACCAAAGAGTCAAAAGGCAAAATAGAAAATATTCAGAAAGTGTCTGTTTCCATGGGGCACACAAAGGATTAGGGGCCAATCTTGCTATCAAACATATCCAATTTCAAAATTAAACACATATTCATGCTCAATATTCATCAAGAAACACAATAGAATACTCAGAAGCCAAATCAGAAAACATTCAAAATTTATTTGTGTCTCATAGGGTTTCACGTAGAACCCACAGAGCACTCAAATTCATATCAAAACTTATCTATTCCTGAAATTGAACACATTCACACTTAGAATCACACAAGAACACAACAGAACAATCAAAAAGTAAAATAGAAAACTTTTATAAAGTGTCTATTCCTATAGGCATACATCAGGCAAGGGATTGCTCTTCTTGTTCTTCAGAAGCGTAAGAAGGAAAAGAAGAAAGAAGTGAGATGCGTTAAACTGGTTTGCTCTCCTGATAACCCCCTTTCTTAAAATAATAAAAATAATTAATAATAATAATAATAATATTTAGCAAAAGGCCACTACGTCCCTCCTTCCCTTCTTATAAAATAATAAAAATAATAAAAATACACTTTCTCTTTTTAATACAAAATAACATATGCTTAACTCTACATAAAATACATTTTCACAAAAATATATGTTTTATATTAAATAACCAAAATACTAATTAAAAATCATGCTTTATAATAAAATAGTGCTCATATAAGTAGTTAAATAATATCAAAATTATTTAATAAACATATGTAAAATATTAAAATAATTTCTAAAATACTATTATTATAAATTATGAAATCTGGGGTGTTATAGAAAGAGTTAGTATGACAAGTAACAATTAAAGAAGACTATGAGTTTCTTTTTGATTTAGCTTTTATGTATTAAGCACTTTCATAAGGTGGTTGCTAGGCAACAAACTCATGCTAAGTGAATGATTTTACATAATGGAAAGATTTATATAAGTTCTATGATGTCCATCAATTTTTTTTTTAATTTTAAACTTTCAAAATTAGTTGACTATATTTTGTAAATTTGTCAACCACCAAATGAATTTATAAATTACTTACACCTAAAAAACTTATTTTACAACAAACTTAAGTAAATTCTAATGGAAACAATTGAGACATATAATTCATGTTGAATATAAAGTTTTCTACACAATTTTGTTCTTTAGTAATTGATAATAAAAATATTTAGTTAAACAGGATTTAATTAAACAAAAAAATAACAATAAACAAGCATTTAAAATTTATAATTATGTTTACAATTTTATGTTTAAACATAATAATGAGTTTTTACTGTGTATCACATGGGTCAAAAAATAGTATTTTATGTAAAAATAATTGTTAAGAAAAAGAAAAGATATATAATTCTTACAACTAACTAGTTTTCAATTTTGTTTTCACTGATGCTTAAGTTTACTATTTTAATTCTTATATTAGTTAAGCAAATATTAATTTGATTAAATTAAATTATTGTTATTAACTTGTGTTGAGGAGAGTGACGAGAGACTCATTTAATTAATTCGGTAAATATGAAATCTTATCTCTTGTAAAATGTAAAAACTAAGTTTTGGGAGGACCTATTTGTTGCCTATAAAGTTAATCAATAAACTTACTAAACTTTAGCTAATTTATTTTAATTCAACATAATATTCAATTAATCATTAATTTATTTGATAAGCAAGTAAGCATGACTAAATTTTCATTTCCCCGTAGTTCATTATATGTTGGTTTTGAGAGACTTATGTGCGGCGCGTGGGTTTACCTAGGGAATATTGGAGTCAAATTACAAAGACAAATACGAACCCAACACCTCCACTTCGGAAAAGCTTACCTCTTACCTAGACACTCACTCATTCCAACTCTCGAAACCCCGTCGTTATTACACCCCACCAACCCCGTCTATTATTCAATGATGTATTTCTAGTTATTTATTATTTTGTTGACACCTTTAGGCTTTTGGTAAGGGTTTTTCTCTTATGTGAAAGTAATTCAATATATTTTCTAAGTAATTTAGGGGATCTAAATAATATCTAACCTGAATTTTATATTTTAAAAGTTATTTTAAGTTCAAGTTAAAATTAAAAATTTACAGTTAAACTTTTTTCTTAATTTTATAATTTTAACTTCAAATATAATTTTAAATTAAAAACTCGTAGACAATGTTTTAGTTAATCTTACGATTAGGGGTATAGAAAAAACATAAGAAAATAAATTTCTAAGAATGATTATCGTTATTTCGGTTATATTGTGTTTGTTTAAATCTCTGATTATGTAGTGTATTTTATCTTTATCTCATGTTTATTTTTTTTTGTGTATTTATTATTATTATTATTATTATTATTATTATTATTATTATTTATATTATTGCTTAAAAATGACTTTAAATATAATTATAATAATAGTTGTGAATATTTGCAAAGCCAAGAATCCATTCACCTTCCGCATAGTTAGATCTCCCAACACGAGCATTATATAAAAGGAAACATTGCGCGAAAAGTTCCTGACTTGTGAATCTCATTCCCCTCTTTCCTTCTTCTCTTCTCACACAACCACCATGTCAATCTCAACTTCACCTCAAGCGCAACTTCTTCCCCAAAGCCAGAAGCGCTTCCTCCCCAATCCCCGCACCCACACGGCCCACCTCTCCCTCCCCTTCAGGCCCATCCCCATCAAATGCGCCTCCACCCCGGCCCAGCTCCACACCCCCCAGGCCCCGACCCAGGCCCACTCCCAGGAGCGCCTCTTCAACTTCGCCGCCGGCCCCGCCACGCTCCCGGAGTCCGTCCTCCGCCGCGCCCAGTCGGAGCTCTTCATCTGGCGCGGATCCGGCATGAGCGTGATGGAGATGAGCCACCGCGGCAAGGATTTCAAGTCCATCATCGAAAAAGCCGAGTCAGATCTACGCTCCCTCCTCCAAATCCCCCCCGAATACTCCGTCCTCTTCCTCCAGGGCGGCGCCACCACCCAGTTCGCCGCCCTCCCCCTCAACCTCTGCCGCTCCCCCCACGACCCCGTCGATTACATCGTCACCGGCTCCTGGAGCGACAAGGCCTTCAAGGAGGCCCAAAAGTACTCCAAGCCCAATCCCATCTGGTCCGGCAAGGCCCAAAACTACACAAACATTCCATCTTTCGCTGATTTGCAGCAGAACCCCGACGCCAGGTATTTGCACATATGCGCCAATGAAACCATCCACGGTGTCGAGTACAAAACCTACCCCACCCCCTTGAACCCCAACGCCGTTCTCGTGGCTGACATGTCTTCCAATTTCTGCTCCAAGCCCGTTGACGTGTCCAAATTCGGAGTCATCTACGCCGGCGCTCAGAAGAACGTGGGCCCCTCTGGGGTCACCATTGTGATCATAAGGAACGATCTGATTGCGCAGGCCCAGGACGTGACTCCTGTGATGCTCGAGTACAGGATTCACGCTGAGAATCACTCTCTCTACAACACCCCTCCTTGCTACGGCATCTACATGTGCGGGTTGGTGTTCGAGGACCTCTTGGAGCAGGGTGGGTTGGTGGAGGTTGAGAAGAAGAACCAGAAGAAGGCTGAGATTCTCTACAGCGCCATCGACGGGAGCAACGGGTTTTACCGGTGCCCGGTGGAGAAGTCCGTGAGGTCGTTGATGAACGTGCCGTTCACGCTGGAGAAGTCGGAGCTGGAGGGTGAGTTTATCAAGGAGGCTGCGAAGGAGAACATGGTGCAGCTCAAGGGGCATAGGTCCGTTGGTGGCATGAGGGCTTCTATCTACAACGCTATGCCTCTCGCTGGGGTTCAGAAGTTGGTTTCTTTCATGAAGGATTTTCAGGCCAAGCATGCTTAGAGGAGTGTGTCGGTGAAACAGGTCTCTATCAGTTTTGGTTTGTTACTATTTTGTTGTTGTTGTTGTTGTGTTTTGTTGTTTAAATTTGGGTACTAGGTAGTATTTTCTTCTGCAGTTTTGAGATTGTTTTCGGGATGATTTTGGATCTGGCCGAAATAGTTTAGGTAAGAATTTATGAATAATCTTCTGTTGCGAGGTTATATGGTTCATTACTTTAGTCCCATGTGATATTAATGGGTGTAAGATGGAACGGAATGGAATGTGATCTCAATAAATCTAATGAGGATGTGTGAAACTCCTTGCCAATATATTGTTTTGAGAAATGTCAACAAAATCTTACTAGGATTTTTTATTGTTTATTTTGCTCTGTTTGTATCACATTTCACCTCTTGTAAGTCTTGTTACATGTGCTTTTTCTCCTCTCGTCTTTTTATCTTCTAAATTGTAACAGGGATAAAAATATTTTGTTAGAAAGAATTGCGTTGGGGGGGTAGAATTATCCTGTCGCCTTGTGAATGAATGATGAAGTACAAGACACATGGTGTACGATGTAGTACTTGCATTGAATCCAACATATTAGCATGTTGTAGTTTTAATTTTTAATGGAGGAATTGTAGATCTTACGAAAATTCTAGGATGAAGCAACAAAATAGGTGGTGCTATATCTACATCAATGTTTTGGCACAAGGTAAAATTTTCTGAATTTGATATTTCTTGTGATTATGATAAAATTGTACAGGATCTTGATCCGAGTCAGTCAGTTTTTAGTTCATTTGTCAGCTTTGTTTGAGTATGTAATTTTTTTTTAAAAAGTAATTTTGCTTGTGTTGATCAACATTCTTTGACAGCCTGAACGCTTCTTAGAATAAGAGAAGTAAGACATGTGCATTCACATAGGACGAGAAATGTTTGTAATACAATGTTTTTGAAATATTGTAGAAACAAATTGGCTTGAAAATTTGATCGAGATTAAATTCTAGAAGTCATATATTCAATTACTTGGTTCAAAAATCAATTATTAGCCGATTAAAAATACGTTTTTAGTTTCTACTCCTATTTGTGTTCATTTGATTAACGATTAAATATTTCATAAAATAATTAACGAAAAGTGTACACAATTTCCCTAATTAAGCAAGGTTTTCAATTTTCAAGCATTGTATGTATATTTAAAAATTTAAGTGAAATTTATAGAGGAGAGCTAACCAAATGACATGGCGTCTCCAATCCTAAATCAAACATTAAAAATAGTTAAATTAGCTAATTTTAGTTAATATTTAATAATTTCACATTTAAGTTTTAGTTTAAAAAGCCCTTTGAATTATTCGATTTAAGTAGCAATTTTACATAAATAAATAAAAAACGTTACATTTTAGGAAAAAATTTCATCAATGAATGTGGTTTGTGCTATTAATAAATAATGAATGTTTTTGGTGCATGTAGGTCAAATATGTATTTCATTAATAGATTTTACAAAAATATAAAAGAAAATGAGTAATTAATATATTTTGAGTATAAATTAGTTTTTCATTGTCAGTTTTGATATATTATATGAATTATGTCAATTGTAATAATCTGTCATGGTCCCTACATTAAACAATATAACTACTAACTTAAAATCATATACATACAAATACTATAATAGGTACAATATTGCATGCATATAAGGATGAAACAACTACTATAATATGTGTAATATACATACACTAATCTTGCATATGTAAATATACAATTAAGTTGTCAGTCAAACAATTATAATTATCTATACATGTCTATCAACAATAGGTAGTCATCAAAACCATTCAGCTTCTATGCCACTTCACTACAACATTCCAACCCTATCCTTGTCCTGTTCCCATACTACGTATGATCGTCATAATCCAAACCATATGGAAATGCACAATAATAAGTTAGGAAAAAGAAATAACACACACACACACACATATATATACACACACAACCTAGGAACATCACATCATCATCTCATCTTTGACAACACAGTAAAATCACACATATAACACAAATTAACATGAGCCAACTTTAAATCAACATAACAATACATCTCATCACAGTTCAACATAGCATATGAACAACACAATCAACTCAATACAGCAATTATATGCGTTGTCTCACATTTCAACTAGGAGATCCCCTACAACATAGGGTGAGAAGTTTAAGTGACTTGATGCTACCGAATCGAAAATATATGATGATCTTTTTGGACTTGCTAGATCAACAGAAAATTGGATATAAATCCACAACACAACAACTCATTTTCTCAAATGTCGTCACTTAAACAAAGAAGTATAGTACTAATGTCATAATAGAACAACTAGGTACGAGTCTACCACGACGTTAGCTAGCTTAATTAAGCCTCCTATGGGATTAGCCTACCAACTATCCTCCAAATACTACAACCTTTTGATATTCAGTTAGGAACTAAGTTTCTGACTTCGTACTTAACTCGGTTGGTCACTTGTAATCAATATAGCTTGACCTGACCCCTATACTGTGGTCGCTTCATATACGTGTGTCTTGACCTTACTCACACATGGTACCAACTAAGTTCTAGAGGAGAAATAATATAGTATCCACTTCAAGGGTTAACTTTCCAAGAAAGGTTTTTTAACAAATTGGGCTCTCAAAACACCACAACACAATATCCACACAATGAGATATGCAACTTTCTAAAATATCTCCTCTAGTCCTAAGTGGTTAACACAACTCAACAACATAGGTCAACAATACAAATCAACAACATAAGTCAACAACACAACAACTCATTATAATTTTCAACGCAACTCAACCAACACACTTTTCAACTCATATCACCATCATCACAACTCATTTACAACACTATGATCAACATGCATCTCAACAACACATCAACATTGTTCATATAGAATCCTAACATAGCTACATAACTTCACAACATACTAGATTCAACTTTCAACTTCACATCATGTTAGCTTAAACAATGTAAACAACATACATCTTTACAACATTTACATCTTAAGAAAACAACATCATAAATCAACTTAACCAACTAGAACAACTTACAACTTAATCATCTTAAATGGAAACCTTCACATAAAACAGTACATAAGGAGTTTTACTACTCTTATCATGCTCATCCTTATCTCATATGAAACACAAGAAGATTTTCTACAACTTTCATGAAGACATCAAGACAAAATTTAGTCATTTACCCCTATCACTACAACCTCAATTCAGCGCTTTAGCATTGGATTTCTACTAGCTAAGTTTTCTCTCCATGGCTATGATGCTCAACCATTACTACAATGTTGGATTTCTGTCATTCCATTTTCCCCACCACTATAGCGCTCAACCACGGCCACACACACATGAGGAGCAAGACTTTTCTTTCTTTTCAAGGAATAAAACTATGCCAATTTTGGAAGAAAAAAAAACTCTTATTATTCTCATTATTTCAAGTTACTTATATACATGTGATTGTATTATCCAATACAACCGAATCAATCACAATAATAGGAAAATATTACAATCAAAAACTAATTGATAGAATCAAGGAGTAACTAACTCCTAAGATCGTGTAATTGACAGAAATCACGTAATTGGCAGCTAAGCTAACACTCCCCCTCAAGTTGGGGAGTAAATATCTTTAATTTTCAACTTGCTAAGAGAGTCATGAAAGATCCTTCCAAATACTACCTTAGTCAGCATATCAGCCAGCTGGTCTTCAAACCTCACATATGGGAAACTAATAATCTTATCATCTAGGTTATATTGATGAAGTTTCTGTCCACATCAACATGCTTCATTTGCTCATGCTGTATGGGATTTTTAGATAATTCAATGGTTGATTGATTATCATAGTGTAACTTCATGGATGACTTTGGTTTGTATCCCAATTCTGTCAATAATCTTCTAAGCCAAAGTAGTTTGCAAATCCCATTTGCCATGCCTCGCCATTTAGCTTCAGTGCTTGATCTTGTGACTTTCTTTTGCTTCTTACTTCTCCAAGTTACCAAGTTTCCACCCACTAAAGTAACATAGCCTATAGTGGACTTTCTATCTGGTTTTGTTCCAACCCAATTAGAGTCTGAGTAACCTTCTACTTCTAGATGATTATTCTTCGAATATATTAACCCTCCTCCTAGTGAAGATTTTAAGTACCGTAGTATTCTGGTTACTACCTCCATATGTTCCTCCCTTGGGTTCTTCATGTGTTGGCTAACCACATTAACTGTATATGTTACGTCTGGTCGGATATGTGAAAGATAAATTGGCTTTCCCACTAATCTTTGGTACTTCTCTCGATTTGCTGGTATCGGGTCATTAGTCTCCACAACTTTCAAATTTTGGGGAATAGGTGTCGTTGCTAGTTTGCAATCTAGCAACCCAACTTCAGATAAAAGATTTAACACATACTTCCTTTGAGAAATAAAAATTACTTCGCATGATCTTGCAACCTCTATTCCAAGAAAGTATTTTAATTCCCCAAGATTTTTCATTTCAAATTCAGAGTTAAGCTGCTCTTGTATCCTGTTAATTTCTTCAGAGTCATCCCTTGTGATTATCATATCATCTACATAGATGATAAGAGTCGTGAGCTTTCCTTTCCTCTTCTTTAAAAAAAGAGTATGATCAACATTACTTTGTCTGTATCCATACTTCTTCATTGCCAAACTAAACCATCCAAACCATGCTCGAGGTGACTATTTCAGCTCGTATAGAGCTTTTTGCAACCTGCACACCAATTTTCCATTTGTTGAAATAGTACACCCTGGTGGTATATTCATATACACTTTCTCTTCTAAGTTCCCATGTAAGAACGCATTTTTCATATCCAGTTGGTGTAAAGACCAATCTAAATTTACAGCTAGAGATAGTAGCACTTGAATGGTATTGAGTTTTACGACAGGAGAGAATGTCTCTTGGTAGTCTATTCCATACGTTTGAGTATAACCTTTAGCCACCAACCTAGCTTTGTATCTCTCAATAGGCCATCAGGTTTATACTTTATGGAAAATACCCATTTACAACCCATTGTACTCTTCCCTTCTGGTAAAGGTACAAGATCCCAAGTGTTATTCTTTTGTAAAGCTTGCATTTCTGCTTGAATAACTTGAGTTCGATTTTGATCTTTTAAAGCTTCCTCGACTCTAGTAGGTATTGATTGAGTAGATAATTGATATAAAAAGGCCATAAGTGAATCTGAGAGCCTTTTAGTAGCAACAAAGTCTGCTGTAGGATGCTTTGTTCCTTTCCCTTCCACATCTGGAGAGTATCTAAGAGGAGGTTTACCTCTATTGGACCTGAACGAAAATGTATATTTTCTAGAGGTGTTAGGCAAATTAGTCTCATAAGTAATGTGTACCTGGATATCCTCAGAAGACTTATTAGTGGGTACAGAGGGAGGCGTAGAAGACAGTGTTATGTCACCTTGCATTGCTTTACCTAGTTCAATTCGACATGCATTTTCATTCTGTGAATCCATCCCACATGGAATAGAGGATGAGGTGGGTTGATTTTGATTTTCTCTCAATTCCTCGGATGGATGGTCTCTTGACATGTATGTAGTAGAGTTGTCAGAGTTGCCCCCATTGTGCAACACATTATGTGAACCATTGCTAATAGAAGTTGCCTCATTAATACCAACCGGTCCTATATTAATATTCATATCATGATTTACTCCAATAATTTCGGGCCCCTATGGTACATCAGATGTAAACACGCCATATGTTCCAAATGTGCCTCCTACATTGCAATCTTCACCATTCTTCTCCCCCTGAAGATGAGTAGGGTTACCATAATAGAGCTAAGTTTCCACAAAAGACACATCCATGGTAACATTGAAGTTAGACATGAAACACATAGAAGGGAGTTTGAATATGTGTATGTGTGAACAAAGGTATTTTAAAAACTTTTCTCAAGAAAACTTTCTTTTGTCCTATAAAATGATGTTAGTAAATGTTAAATAAAAACTACCCAGGTTTGGTTTAACGAATGATTCTTCGTATGGGAAATTCATCGTCTACTTAAAGAAAATGCTTCTTAACCACAAGTCGTCCTTTATGATAATAAATTAAACATGTGTGGTTTTCGTCTAAAAATATTTGTAACAAATGATAGTATATTCTTATCAGACACTTCTGGCTAGCAGTGAGTATTCTCGACCACCTTCTGGCCCATCGGCTTCACTCGTCGACACTAGTATATTCTGATCAGCTACTTCTGGCTAGTAATGAGTATTCATTGACTAGCCTCTCCAGAGAGTTCCTTTTTAAGCTTGTATACATGATTAAGATTTTTGAAATCCACAAAGCCTGGTGGATGCTCAACATACACTTCCTCTTGTATCAACCCATTGAGGAAAGCATTTTTCACATCCATTTGATAGAGCTTGAAATTCATTATAGAGGAATAAGCAAGAAGTAATCTAAAGGCTTCTATCCTTGCTACAAGGGCAAAAGTCTCATCATAGTCAATTCCCTCTTCTTGATTATACCCCTTAGCCACTAGTCTTGCCTTATTTCTTATAATTATCCCTGATTCAACAAGCTTATTTCTAAAAACCCACTTGGTTCTTATAATTGGGTAATCTTTTGGTAATGGCACTAAATCCCATACATCATTTCTTTCAAACTGATTTAGTTCCTCTTGCATGGCCATTAACCAATGTTCATCTTTTAGTGCTTCATCAATACTTTTGGGTTTAACTTGTGACATAAAAGCCATAGTGTTGCAAATGTTCTTAATAGCACTCCTAGTTGAGACTCCCTTACCAATATTTCCAATTATGTTATCCATTGATAAGTCCCTAGAAGTTTTCCATTCCTTAGGCAATTGTTCACTCGTTTCCTTTGTGTTCTCATGTGATTCACTCTCCTTAGGCTTTTCATTTGGTTCATTCTCCAATAGAGGTTGATCAAGCAAATCAGTCAAATCTTCAATTTCAGTTTGCCTTGTCTCTTGTTT